TATGGTTACTTATGTGATATCAGTAACGTTTGTTACTTATTAGTTAGCTACGACAATTGATCATCCATAGTAACTGGTGATCAATTTGCAGAACTGGGCAATACAAGATGGTGAGGTCTGGTGCATCATCTTCTGGTGCCGCTCAAGGAAGAGACCCTCGAGTAGATGGAATCCTGGAAGCATTGGCCAATGTAGGGGCATTGTTTGAGCAACAAGCCCAGCAGCAAGTGGTAATAGGGAATGGTGATCGCCGTGTGCAAGGACTTATTGAACAATTTCTGAAATTGAAACCAAGTGAGTTTGCTGGAGTGGGAGACCCCAACGAGGCCGAAAGATGGATACGTAGTTTGGAGAAAATATTCAACCTGTTGACTTGTATCGATACTAATAAGATACTTTTGGCTGAGTATCAACTGGAAGGAAATGCGGAACTCTGGTGGAGAGCATCAAAAGAAGCAGTGCTTCCCGCGGGTACGGAAATAACTTGGGAGAAGTTTGTGGAGACATTTTATGAGAAGTATTTTTCTGACTGTGCTAAAGATCAGAAAATAGCAGAGTTCATACAGCTATGTCAGAATAATATGACGGTGGATCAGTACGAGGCTAAGTTTTCTGAACTATCTAGGTTTGCGCCTCGTATTGTGGAAAATAGAGAGGACAAAGCTAAGAGATTTCTGAATGGGCTAAAGACTGATATCAGAAAGCAGTTAGTACCCCTCGTATAATGTACTTTACAGACGTGCCCAACTCATTGAACAGGAGTTGATGAAAGGAGAACTAGAGGCCATGGGACAAGGTAAGGTAAGTCATCAAGCCACACGAGATAACGTCAGATTTGGCAAAAGGCCTCTCCAGTTTGGAAAACCTTCTTTTGTCTATAATAAGAGACGCTATAACATGAAATCGTGGAATAACCAGTCGATGGAGCGGAGGTCATTCCCAAATGGAAACTGCCGCCAGTGTGGAAAACAACACGAGAATGCGCCGTGTCCAATGCTAAAGAGGTGTTTTGGGTGTGGATAACTCGGTCATGTTGTTAATGATTGCCCTCAAGGGAGACCACAACTTAGTGCACCGCCAGCGCGGCAACAACAACAACCAACTCAGGGTGGAGCACCACCACCAAGGAATTTGCAAAGACCTCCAATGCAAGGAAAAGTGTATGTGATCACTCAGGAGGAAGCGGAAGCTTCCAAGACTGTTATTTCAGGTATGCTCTCCTTATGTGATCAACTGGCATACGCATTATTTGATACGGGTGCTACGCATTCCTTGTATCTGCAAGATTTATGCGATTAGTTGGATTGAAGTTTGAATTGCTTGAAGTGCCTTTGAGTGTCTCTACACCTCTAAATGATATGATAGTATCAACATTGGCATGTAAGGATTGTAAGATCTCTATAGGTGGAGTGGATAAGAGGATAGATATGGTAGTTTTAGTTATGTACGACTTTGACGTTATCATAGGAATGGATTGGCTTATTAAGCAACAGGCCAATGTAGATTGTTATGAGAGGTGATTCGGTTTAACCCACCAGATCACCCTAGCTTTGAATTTGTCGAGAATGGAATGAATTGTTCATTGCCACTTATCTCAGCACTCGAGGCACATAGACTCCTCAATAATGGTTGTCGAGGATACTTAGCAATGGTTAGGGATCAAGTTAAGAAGGAATTGAAACTTGAGGAAATTCCTGTGGTCCAAGAATTTCTTGATGTATTTCCTGAAGAGTTGCCAGGAATACCACCGAAACGAGAAGTTGAATTTGTTATAGAATTGGCCCCAGGAGCAGAGCCCATTTCAAAAGCCCCATATAGGATGGCATTAATGGAGCTAAAGGAGTTAAAAGTACAATTACAAGAATTGCTTGATGGAGGATTTATTCGGCCAAGTGCATCACCATGGGGCGCACCTGTTTTATTTGTAAAGAAGAAGGATGGATCAATGCGTCTCTGCATTGATTATAGGCAATTGAATCAGATCACGATCAAGAACAAGTATCCTTTGCCTAGGATTGATGACCTATTTGACTAATTGCAGGGGGCATCTGTATTCTCAAAGATTGACTTAAGATCAGGCTATCATCAACTCAAGATTAAGAAGGAAGACATTCCTAAAACGGCGTTCAGGACGCGATATGGACATTATGAGTTCTTGATAATGCCATTCGGGTTGACTAACGCGCCAGCTGCATTCATGGATTTAATGAATAGAGTGTTTAAACCCTATTTGGATCAGTTCGTTATAGTTTTGATTGATGATATTCTGATATACTCGAAAGGACTAAAAGAGCATGACGACACCTAAGGGTTACACTTCAGACTCTGAGAGAACATAAGTTGTATGCAAAGTTTAGTAAGTGTAAATTTTGATTAGATCAAGTAGCATTTCTAGGTCACATAATAACTGGAGAAGGTATATCAGTTGACCCAGCTAAAATTGAAGCGATAGTCAATTAGCCTAGACCAACGACACTAATAGAGATTCGAAGTTTCTTAGGACTTGCTGGTTACTATCGGAGATTCGTAGAAGGATTTTCACGTCTGACTGGTCCATTGACTCAATTGACAAGGAAGGACACGAAATTTGAATGGAATAAAGAGTGTGAACGAAGATTTCAAGAACTTAAGAGAAAATTGACTACCGTCCCAATTCTAACAATACCATGTGGATCGAAAGGATTTGTTGTGTATAGCGACGCCTCCCACAAGGGCCTTGGGTGTGTTTTGATACAACACGGGAAGGTCATCGCTTATGCATCCAAGCAATTAAAACCGTATAAGTTGAATTATCCAACGCATGACTTAGAATTGGTAGCAATTGTTTTTGCACTGAAGATTTGGAGACATTACTTATATGGAGGAAAGTTTGAAATTTATACGGATCATAAGAGTCTGAAGTATCTATTTTCTCATAAGGAGTTAAACATGAGACAGAGAAGGTGGATGGAGTTATTAAAGGATTATGATTGTGAAATCTTATACCATCCAGGGAAAGCAAATAAAGTGGCAGATGCTCTTAGTCAAAAGTCTGTTTTGACTGTAGCCAATCTGATGGTCAAGGAATGGTGTTTACTCGAAAAGGTTTCAGAATTTGACTTTAAACTTGAGATTAATGATCTTTCCAGCGTATTGGCTACGCTGAGAATTGAGCCTGTAATTATACAGAGAATTAAATCACTACAACAAACAGACCCCGAAATCTCAAGGGTCCGGGAAGAAATTGTGAAAGGAAAGAAATCAGAATTTCACGTAACAGATGAAGGAGTCGTGAAATTCAGTGGACGCATATGCGTGCCTAACAATGAAGAATTAAAGCGGGAAATCTTGACGGAAGCCCATCGGAGTAATTATAGTATTCACCCTGGGAATACGAAGATGTACCATAATCTTCGTCAATATTATTGGTGGAATGGAATGAAGTCAGATATAGCCAAACATGTTGCAAGGTGTTTAACGTGTCAACAAGTCAAGGCAGAGCATCGTAAACCGGCTGGAATGTTGAAACCTTTAGAAATTCCCGAATGGAAATGGGAATATATAACAATGGATTTTGTGCAAGGTTTACCAAGGACATCAAGTGGTCATGATTCTATCTGGGTGATTGTAGATCGTTTGACTAAGTCTGCTCATTTTCTGGCAGTACGAATAGACTATTCACTTGAGAAGTATGCAGACTTATATGTTAAACATATAGTGCGATTGCACGGAGTGCCCGTGATCATCACGTCAGACCGAGACCCAAGATTCACTTGGAACTTCCGGAAGAGTCTCTAGGTGGCTCTGGGGACTAAGCTTCAGTATAGTACCACATTTCATCCTCAGATAGATGGACAATCAGAATGGGTGATACAAATATTAGAGGATATGTTACGTGCTTGTGTTATTGACTTCCAAGGCAATTGAGACGAGAAGCTACCTTTAGTAGAGTTTGCATATAATAATAGCTTTCAGAAAAGTATTCAAATTGCTCCATTTGAAGCCTTGTATGGAAGAGCCTGTACGACCCCAATCTGTTGGGATGAAGTAGGAGAGAGAAAGTTGACAGAACCAGAATTAGTACAAGTCACGACGGAAACTGTGAAACTGATACGAGATAAGCTCAAAACCGTCCAAAGTCGACAGAAAAGTTATGCCGACAGACGTTGGAGACCCTTAGAGTTCAAGGTGGGTGACCATGTGTTCCTGAAAGTATCACCAATGAAAGGTATATCAAGGTTTGGAAAGAAAGGAAAATTGAGTCCTAGGTTTGTAGGACCTTTTGAAATACTCGAGAGAATCGGAGAATTGGCATATCGGTTAGCATTACCACCAAAGCTCTCTAATATACATGATGTATTTCATGTATCAATGTTGAGGAAATACGAGCCTGACTCCTCACACATACTAGATTTTGAGACCATAGATGTCGACGATAAGGTAAAATACATTGAGAGACCAATATGGATATTGGATCGTGGCGAGCGGACTCTCAGAAATAAAACCATTCCTCTTGTTAAAATTCTGTGGCAACATTATGGTGATGAGGAAGCTACATGGGAAAGTGAAGAAGAGATGAGACTTCGGTACCCATAATTGTTTGAAGGAACAAGTAAGGACTCAAATTTCGAGGACGAAATTTCATAAGATGAGGAGAGTTGTGACATCCCAAAAAATTTCGTCCGTTAGTTTAACGAGCGTACGTAACGGAATGTTACGTGGGAATTTAAATAACCGTCGACGAGCTACGGAAGTGTCAACTTCAGAAGACTCGGATATTATTACGAAACCATCGTACCATCACCATAGCAACCCCCGCAAGATCCTTCTTCAACTACCTATCTTTTCGTCCACAACGTCGTCTTACGAACTAACCATTATGACCTCACGATGTCTTTCGTTCACATTATAAATTCTAGTTACATATTCCACCGCACCGAATTCCTGCCGCTATTTTATTTTCGCTGAAATCATCCACATCATTTTCCATTTGTGCCGGATTCATGAATCCTAATATTCATGAATGCTAATACCTTTAGTTTTCCATCACCACACCAGCACCTTTCTACCGTTGACTGACATTTCCACTTCCTTCTTGCCATTGCATGTTTTTTTGCCAAATGTCCCTCCCTCTCACGCCTCCAACACTAGCTGTTTTGCCCCTTGCATCACCACCGCCAGCTGCCCTTTTTTTTCTTCGATCAACAAAATTCTGCTCTTGCTCAGTCAATCGGCGAAGGAGAATCGTCCAGCAAATCCCCCAAGCCTCTGATTTTTCTTCACTCTTGCCGACCTATTCTTTTTCTTCTTCTTCCCTTCTCATTCTGTACCACCCAAAACACAGAACCTCTTCCTCCGTTGTTTTTCTTCTGTTCTGAATCAAGTTCATTGCCCGACACCACCAGCTTGCTGTCCATCCTAGCGAGCCGTTTCCAGACCTTCACGCCGCCAAGTTCCTTCTCACCGTGGGCTTGAGGTGCGACGAAAGGCTTGAGAAGAATTTTCTGTGGTCCTCTTTCCATTTCCGAACTGCGCGGCGCCGTATTCAGCCGTTAAGGTAAGTGAAATTCTGCCTCCCTATAATAGATCGGAATGGGTTGTATGTTGGCGTGGCTTTAGGATATTGATGGAAATGGATGGTGGTGATGGAAATTAGCTGCTGGTTTGGGTGTTTTTGAACACCAAATTCGTGTAGATCAGGTCACGGGTTATTCTTGAACTTGAGTTGTGATTTCCAGATTCGGTTTCTACTGGACCTTCACTGCTTTCCAATTTTGTAGAGATTTCTGTGGTTAGAATTTTGCAATACTTCCTTCATGAAAGTTGTTCAAAACATCTGAACGTATAACATATTTTAATTTCAGAATTTTTGGAGTTGTTTTGGGTAGCACGAACGCCAAATCTCTAACCCGTGCTTGACTGCCCTGGTGCTCTGTTTCAGTGACCTTTCCACATTCTTGAATTTTTATAAACTTTTCTAGAACGATTCTGAACAAAATTACTTCACAAAAGCTTTTTAGGATGTCTTTCTCTACAACATATTTAGATTTTAGAATTTTTGGAGAGGATTTGGATACTGAAATGAACTCATTTTGAGAGGCAAGGATTCTGTCCCGATGAACAGTTTTTAGTCTGACTTTAAGCTCCCGAACGAGGCATTTAAAGAAATAATTAGACTTTGAATCCTTCATAAAAAATGTTTATCAAGGTGTCTTCGGTGACATATCCAAAATTTATAATTTTTAAAGTTCATTCACTATTTATTTAAGTCTGATTTTAAAACTGGTGCAAGGCTGCCCAGTTTTACCAATTTATAAAGACTTACTATTTTCCACATGAAATTGTTGGAATCTCAATTTGATGTCTTCTGGAGATGAAATGTATAAACTCTGATCTTTCCAATGAGTCATGCTAGACCTTGATGTGGTTAGCCACGTGTCGTGGGATGTGTTGTTGACGATTAGTCAAAGCGGTGCTCTAGTGAACGAGACTGCAAATGCGACTTACGATATGTCCTACTATAGTGGTAACTGTGAATTATGTGATATTGAGAAATGATGATTGTTGTTGATGAACTGTGCACTGCACGAAATGATTAGTTTGTGTGGGCTTACTGGTTATTAAATGCCGTCGGTCAATGAACCGACGATGCCCCGAGGAGCCGTAGGGAATGCGGGATGCCGTGGTCTATGGACTACGATGCCTAGGATGAGAATGCCCTAGATGCCCCGGGAGTTTGATCGGGATGCCATGGTCAGTGGATCACGAAGCCTACGCGGGCCGTTGAAAATTCCGTCGTACACCGCGGCAGATCGGAGTGCGCACCGGATCCCGCTAGACGGGAGTTTTCCTCCTTGCGTGTCCGGCGAGCGCACCGGACATGTGACTTGGAGTGAGATAATGATACCCAAGCAAGAGTGAAATTGTGTGTGTGTGTGTGTGTGTGTGTGTGTGTGTGTGTGTGTGTGTGTGTGTGTGTGTGTGTGTGTTGAATCGTGCTATTAATTATGATTGTGGAGTAAAGTATCTCACTTGAGATGGTACTAACTTAGGCACAACAAAATGTATTTATTGTGATTAGTAAATCCAGCTAGAAGATTGTTATACTTATGCCCGTTGATATGCATTCTATTCTTGTTAATATAGGTTGACAGACATTTTACTTGTTGAGCCTAGCTCACTGTTGTTGTTGATAACTTTTACAGACTTTTAGCTATGCCTATCCTACCTGCCTCCTCCTTAGTTAGCTATGGGTCCCCGATCGACTTCTTGGGACACCTGTCAGAGTTCGAGATTCCTGATGTCCCCGGGATAGTGTTCATGCGATGTATCTCAGTATTGACCGTAGATGTTGGGCCCCATGTCGGATCTATATTGTTAGGTTTTTTGGCGGTGTATGCTCGTATTGGTGGGCGACTGATAGGGCCCCTACCGTACGTGTCCGACGACGGGGATGACGATGCTTCTAGTGGGGTGGAGTGAGCTGTAGTTGGAGGATGGGGAGGATCATTTTTGGGACATGTGACCGACACTTTTTGGGATAGGGTCACGTGATAGGTGATACGTTTTTGATAGATGAAATAGTGAGTCTTATGTTGATAGCATAGTGATGGGAGTAACACTGTACAGAGCCTCCCTAGTATGAACTCACCCTTGTATCATCCATGTATATAAATAAAGAAATGTTGAAGTTTAGTGCCAGTGATATCTTTACATTTTTTTGATTAGTTATAAATTCAAACTTTAAATGCTATTAAAAAAAAAAGAAACGTCTCCGCGTGCGAACTCTTATAATCGCATGAGGTTAGAATGACATATAGGAAGGGGCGTGCCAGAGACGCCACAGTGGGATTTTACGGAACTCGATTTGGACTTACGGTTTGCAGGATACGAATTTTTGAAGGTGGCCGCGCAAGGTGAACAGTGCGTGACCAACGGCTTTTAGGCCAATTTTCGTCGGTTTTTGGCTCGATTTTGGGACGGCCTAGTTGGGGTTCTTGTAATGCTCTGAATGGGCTTTCTATTGACTATAAGCTCACTTGAAAAGGGATTCGGTGGAGGAATTTATGGTGCGATCAAGTTTCGCGCTCAAGGTCCGCGTTGCGAAAGGTTTTGGATAATCGCTTCGGACAAACGATTTGTGGGCGCCTTTGAGTTGCCTTGTTAGCGTTTAAGTGTCGTTTAGCCATTTCGTAGTTATCGTAGTATTTTACTTGATTTTGACGTCAATTCTCGTTTAATTATTAGGATTACGAGATCATCGGTTTGAGTCAGTGTCGTTGTTTGATTTTTGGGGATTTCAGGTGAGTGGTGTTATCTCTTCTTTGAGTTTGTAAACTCATATTTCGAAAGCGATATGAATTAGATATGTTATGAGTTAAATAGCATTGTTATTACATAAAAGGTCGGATCGGGCATTTACTACCCTATTGATCATTTAAAAATGGTATGGTAAAGCATTTCTGGAAATGGCTTATATATCAATTATCGTGAAATGAATTGAGGAAATTCTTTATGAAAGGAATTCTTTTGTTAAAGGTTATTCATATCAATTTATGAAGAATTTTGAAATGATGTGAGAAATGTCTTGTAAAATGCGTTCGGTTTGACGAACGGAGTTGAGAAAAATTGTGTTTTGTTTTATGAAATCAATTGGTGATATTGATTGTGGATTATGAGATTTATTATGAATTTGGTGTTGTAGATTATTGGAAGATGTGTGTTTTGTGCTCAATATCGTTGTGAACCCATTGAGGGGCTTGGGGGTATGTATACCGGGTTTAGGATATCCTTTTGGGTCGAGCCACCAGCTTTGTAGGTGGAGACCTTGCCAAGGGGGGGAATCTTGGTAACCTTGTCACAAGGCTTTATGTCGTGACCATGGTTTAATATTGAGCAATAGATTGGTCGATGGAATGGACCATCGACATGTGATATGATATGAGATTCATCAATGGAATAGACCATTGATATGTGATTTGAGATTAGTCAATGGAATGGACCATTGGCGTGGTTTTTAATAGAGATTGATCAATAGACTTGACCATTGATGTTTATGATGATTTAAATTAGTATATTCTGAATTGTATAAAGTCTTGTTGAAATGAAACAACTCTTATGTGACTCGATATATATTTTATATCTTGAGTTTGACTTCTGGAATTGTGGTATGGCTTTATGTATTCATGCATAGTGATTGCTCGATCTGCTTAAAAGAGATACGCATTGCTTACTGAGCTGTGGTTACTCACCCATCTCTTTCCCCAATCTTTTCAGGTTCTTTGGTTGGTAGTCGACAGAGCGAGAGTGATATCGTGGGGATTTTTGGGTGCTTTGAGGCTGCGTCCTTCAGGTGGAAGGACGGCCGTGTTATCCCCCATCCTGGTAGGTTTCGGGGTGTGACAAACTGTTTCGAAACAATTCGCACGAACACCTAAAGAGACTCGAGTTGAGAACGCTCCATTACTAATCCTCATGGACCTTCCCCACAGAGATCAGGTTTCATCCAGGTCATTCTCTTGCTTAACTATCATCATTCTCTTGTTGGGGAGTGTCCTAGTTTTAGTAGATGCTGGCGGGGACGAGACCGATCAGCTTGCTTTGCTGGAATTCAAGGCTCGAATAGCCGATCCTGATGGGGTTTTGAGCTTATGGAATGATTCTAGCCATTTCTGCAAGTGGTACGGTGTCACATGCGGTCGTAGACACCGAAGAGTCACGGTACTGGATCTCCCCTTTAAGAACCTGTCCGGGATCATGCCGTCCTGTATTGGTAACCTGAGCTTTTTGAGGGAAGTCAATCTGCATAACAACAATTTCCATTCCGAAATTCCCCCGCAATTTGGCCGCTTGTTTCGATTGCAGAAGTTAATCCTTTATAACAACTTGTTCAGTGGACAAATCCCATTGAATCTCTCCCGTTGCTCTAATTTGCTCGTTCTTAACTTAGGCGAGAACAATCTCAAAGGAAATTTGCCTGCGGAACTTGGCTCCTTGTCCAATCTCCAACAACTCATAGTTGAACACAACAGCTTGACGGGAAACATTCCGCCGTCGCTTGGAAACTTATCCTCTCTTCAACGCTTCTCAGCATCTTTTAATAACCTCGGGGGTACGATCCCAGAGATCCTCGGCCAGCTGAGAACACTAGACATCCTCTATCTCGGTGCGAATCAATTTATTGGTACGATTCCTATCTCAATCTTCAATATATCCACTATGACATCCCTTGACGGGGCTGAAAACCAATTAGAGGGGGGCTTACCCAGCGACTTAGGCTTCACTCTTCCGAATCTCAAGGAAATTGGTTTGTATGGCAACCACCTCACAGGACCCATTCCTGAGTCATTATGCAACGCCTCTAATCTCGGTCAATTCGAATTCGCGAGGAACAATTTTACCGGGAAAGTTCCTTCTTGCTCAAAGAAGACAAGACTCTATTGGTTTAACATCGGCGATAACAACTTAGGAAGTGGGCAATCTGATGATCTTGACTTCATCTGTTCTTTAACCAATTCCACAAACTTGGAAGTATTGGGAATAGAGAAAAATGCTTTTGGAGGACCAATACCCGACTGTATTGGTAACCTCTCTATCACTCTTTCGCAGTTTGAATTAAGTTACAATTATATTTATGGAACCTTACCTTCTGGAATAAAAAATCTAATCAATTTGGAGATCCTCTCAATAGAGATCAACAACATCTCGGGAAACATTCCTTCCGAGATTGGAAATCTGAACAAATTGAAGGTTATGTATCTAGGAATAAATAATTTATCAGGGCAGATACCAGAATCTATCGGGAATTTAAGGATGTTAACCAAATTGGGCTTGAATGATAATAATCTCCATGGCTCGATACCATCGTCTCTAGGAAACTGCCAGAATCTACTTCTCTTGGACCTTTCGACCAACGACCTCAGTGGTAACATTCCCCCGGAAATTATGGGCCTCTCATCTTTGTCGATTTATCTTGATTTGTCTCAAAATAATCTTACTGGTTCCCTTCCAGGAGAAGTTGGAAAATTGAAAAATCTCGGCAAATTACTTCTTTACGGGAACAGATTATCTCAACAGATTCCAAGCAGTATCAGCAGTTGTATAAGCATGGAAGTCCTATATATGCAGGATAATTTCTTTGAAGGGCCCCTACCATTAACTATGAGATCCATGAGAGGCCTTCAGGTTTTGAATGTTTCTAACAACCAATTGGTCGGCCAAATCCCGAAATATCTAGAGTCACTCAATCTGACGAATTTGAGCCTATCTTACAATGATTTCGAGGGTGCATTGCCTACAGGTGGAGTTTTCAAAAGTGCCATTTCAACTTCAGTTGTTGGAAACAAGAAGCTTTGTGGGGGTCTCCCAGATTTTCAACTACCGAAATGCGACTACAAAGAGTCAAAATGGACAAGAATAAGCAGAACGGCAAAAATTCTGATATCCACAGTCTCTGCTGTTGTAGTAGTGGCCTACATGGTCTTTTTGTTATACTTCATCCGGTATAGACACAGTAAGAAAGCATCAGCTTCAAGCTCTTTTGAAGAAGGGCTTTTGCATGTTTCTTTTCACAGTCTACTGAAAGCCACGGGTGGATTCTCGTCCACCAATCTGCTTGGCGTGGGCAGTTTTGGATCCGTGTATAGAGGGCTTCTTGATCAAACTCAGTCGATCGTAGCCATCAAGATTCTCGACCTTACACGTCATGGAGCTTCCAAGAGCTTCATAGCCGAGTGTGGGGCCTTGAGAAGAATCCGACACCGTAATCTTGTAAAGGTACTCACGGCATGTTCTGGGTTTGATTTTAATGGAAATGATTTCAAGGCATTGGTCTATGAATACATGTCAAATGGGAGCTTGGATGAATGGTTGCACCCAACTGCATCGCAATATACAGCAAGAAGCAAGTTGAGTTTACTTGAGAGAGTGAATATTGCTATTGATGTTGCTTGTGCACTAGATTATCTCCATCATCACTGTGAAACACCAGTAGTTCATTGCGATCTAAAGCCGAGCAATGTCCTTCTTGACGATGAAATGACAGGACATGTAGGCGATTTTGGGCTTGCGAGGTTCCTCCCAGAAGCAACACATAAGTTACACGCCTCTCAATCTAGCTCTGTTGGAGTAAAAGGATCTTTTGGCTACGTAGCTCCAGGTAATGATGCTAAAGTTGGGCCTTTAAGTTTATTTCCTTATATAGAACACACAATTGTAGGCCGATCCTAGACAAAAAGGAATAGGCATGAAATATCACCGAACCATATTTCAATCTCAATTATTCATTGTGCATCACTACGCTTTGTTGATTGTTGTAGAGTACGGCTCGGGATGTGCGGTATCCACAGAAGGAGATGTGTACAGCTTCGGAGTCCTCGTTTTGGAGATGTTCACAGGCAAGAGGCCGACCAATGACATGTTTGAAAATGGGCTGAACCTTCATCGCTTTGCAAATACAGCTCTAATAGACCGATTGGAAAATGTAATCGATCCCATTCTGCTTCAGGAATACCAAGAGTCGGAAAAGAGACGAACCGTCACTCCAGATGGCAAGAACAAAAGCTGGTTTAGTGCTCTAGAGTGTTTGGTTTCGATCATCGAAATAGGAGTCACTTGCTCTTCTGAGTCTCCAAGGGAACGAATGGACATTGGCGATGCAGTGACTAAACTCCAAGGAATCAGGAAGAAACTTCCTGAGTTCATTGTCACTGCCTAGTTGATGTAAAATCTTAACTTCATATGGAGTCATGTGGTCTTCATGGCCATTGTTTGATCTGGAATAGGATGTCGAATTTGGCCATTTACAGACAATTTGAATGTGGCGATTGCAAAACCATAAGTGATGGAGACTAGTGACTTAGCAATCCAAGGAAGATCAGAATAGTTTATGTTGTCTTAAACATAAGATCACTTTCCTTCAGTTGTGTGAAAAATAAATGTACTTTGTTTTGCTTTAGCCCAAAAAATAGAAATTTTAACCTGTTTGAGAGTTGCACCAAGAAAATGTAATAAAATGAAAAATCATAAAAGCACGGCTCCTAATATAAGTACCTCCAGACATCTGGTAATATGAACTTTTGTCTTGCTCTCTTGCAAACTCGGCTGTTCATTTTGGCTTTTAAAACAAAACGAAAAAATTACTAAAGAACTTTCCTCTAAAAGTTAAATAATATTTAAATTTAGAAAAAGTTCATGAAAAGGATCCACATAGCGATATTTGTTCATATATCTATAGATAAAGTTAAGGCTAAGAGAATGTGAGTTTCTGTAATCACCACATGATAAACTTTACCTCTATGATTGTCCCGTGTAAGCCATCTGGCTTATGGGGGTGAACAGTATCTACTGGCTTACGCATTTTGTCCTGTCATAAATGTACAGACAAATATGGTGTTAAATGATCTCTTGCGTGGGTGGAAAGAATTGCAGGAGAACTGGCTTTCATCATTTTTTGTGGTGAGATTTGAACCCAGCGTGTTTTTTTCTTTTTTCTGCTCTAACATTGGACAGCCACAAGTATCTGCCACCACTGTCAATCTTACAACCAAGACAGCAATTGTATGGCCTGAATCTGAAGCCAAGGCTGTACCTAACTGGCAAATAGAGTTGGGAGAAACACTTGCAAAACACTTGACAAATTGGGGCTTTAAGTCTAACCCTCATGGTAAGCAGTTTAATTCACTATCTGCTTGTTGCAGTAGAATGAGGTTTGGCTGACATTCGTGAATATCATTGCCGCAGATAACGTACCTTTTATCACAGATTTCCTGTGTCGATGACACCATCTACTAGTTGGAAGTACAAGCTTTTATATCTCTTTGGCTTGTCACTGGTGTATATCACGAGTTGGGGTTTACTCGCTTAGGGAGCAGTTCCTTGTCATCAGAAAAAAAAAAAAAAAAGGTGAAGGTAGAGTAACTGTTGTAATATTAACTAACACATAAGCTAATCCGGATCTTGCAAATTAAGTCAATACAAAAATCACCAAAGAAATAATGAGGAACAATAAGGACACCTCTAAGATTTACGTGGTTCAGTCCGACGTATCGGTACCTATATTCACGGAGAGAATCAGCAGCAATAATCCATTAATAATCGGAGAATCAAAATTGACAATCGCTTATAAAGCTCGAATGTTTTCCGCATCTAAATTAAACTCAAACCTCAAGTGTTTATAAATAAATAACTCATTTAAATAAAAAAAACTCATAGAACAAATTAAGCACCCGTGTTCACGTTCATGTAGCTCCCATCTTCATTTTGTGGCGGCTAGGGGTGAGCATGATGGACCGCCCGAACCGGGACCGGACTGGACCAGACCGGACCGGCCGGTTTGGTCCTGTTCTCGAGAGTATCGGTCCGGTTCCCGGTTCCTAAAAGTGGAACCGGTTTCCGAGCGGTCCGATTCCCGGTTCTAGGGTGGGAACCGGACCAGACTGATAAAATATATATTTACTTTTTAAAATTTTTGAAGAAAAAAAGAAAGCCTAATCTATTCCCTCTTGCCTTTACCAATTTTTTTAAGGATTGGTTCCGTTGGAAAATGGAATTGGTTCCATTGGAACGTGATTGATTCCATTTAAAAATAGAAAAATAAATATATTTATTTATTTAAAATAGAAAGTCTAATTTAAAAGTACGTGATCGGTTCCATTGGAACCGGACCGGACCATCGGTCCGATCTGGTCCACGATCCTAGGACTAGCTGGTCCGGTCCTCGATCCTAAAAAATGAGAACCGGTCCTCCTGATCCGGTTCCCGGTTCTTAAGTGAGACCGGATTGGATCGAGAACCGCCCACCCCTAGTGACGGCTACTACGAGTGGTCGAAGGAGCCCTCCCCACAAAACTTCACTGTTTGGCCATGGAGAAAATAGAGAGCTACTGTGCAAGCCACTGTTCGGCCATGAAGAAAAGGGAGAGAGAGACCCCACTTGTACAGAGAACGACCCAGGGCTTAGGGCCAAAAAGAAGACCTAGATATGTATTATATTTTGTTTTTCTTTTCTCCTTTCTTGGCCCCACGCATTGGAAAAGAACCTACACCTAATCCTTTCTCTTTTATAGTAAGTCAACAATTTACCCTTTTTCTTTGACCAGGACCCGCCACATAAGCAAATGTGAGCCCATTCTTTTGTTTTGTAGTGGCGAGGCTTCTTTCTTTGATATTAATCCTACCGGGTCAAATTCCGTAACAGCTTAAACTCGAGACATAATTCAATAATTATTCACCTTAGCTTGATGTTTAAAGCTAAATCATGGTGCCTATCATCCATGCCACTCTCCTAATTCTCCGACGGGCGCTTACTCTCCAAAGATGCCAAAGAAACGGACTTAGTCATCATGTTTTCGGGGTTCTCAGTTGTCGTAATCTTCTTCACAACCACCTTAGCCTTCACTAAGACATCTTGGATGAATTGGTACCATATGTCGATATGTTTCGTTAGCTCATGATAAATCGGATTATATGCTAGATATATCACACCTTGGTTGTCATAATATACATCAACACTTTTCTGTTCCAATGCAGAGTCTGAGAGCAAATCTCGTAATCATATCGCTTCTTTCGCTATAAAGGTCAGTGCCATATACTCTGCCTCAATCGAAGACAGCACAACGTGGTCCTGTAAGTACGCTTTCCAACTAACCGCACCACCTGTATGCGTAAACACGTACCTTGCTAAAGACCTGCATTCATCCAAGTCACCGATATTATTCGAATCCACATAACCAGTGATATCACTGCCATTGCTGTCCCTCCGATACACTATACCAATGTATGTTGTCCCCTTCAAATATCTGAAGATCCACTTCACAGCTTCCTAATGAGCTTTACCAGGACGCTTCATATAACGACTAATTATGCTCATAGCCTGTGAAATGTTAGGCCTAGTGCATACCATAACATACATAATACTACCAACTGCATTACAATAAGGAACACGGGACATATGCTTCTCCTCATCCTCAATCTGCGGTGATAAGTTATCCGAAAGTTTAAGGTGCCTCGCTAATGGTGTACTCACTAATTTCACCAACTGCATATTAAAACATGCCACAATCTTTTCAAAACTCACGTAGTCCTATACGCAAAATCTCCATACCCAATATTTTCTTTGCCGCACCTAAATCTTTCTCAAACTCAACACTCAACTGCCTCTTCAGCACATCAATATCAAACATATTCTTAGCTGCTATTAGCATATCATCAACATATAATAATAGATATATCTAAGATCCATCCTTTAATCTCCTAAAGTAAACACAGCTATCCATTTGACTTTTCGAATAGTCCTGACTAGCCATGAAAACATCAAAACGCTTATACTATTGCCTAAGAGACTGTTTCAGCCCATACAAAGATTTCTTTAACCAGAAAACATGGTCTTCTTACTCGAAATAGCAAATCTCTTTGGTTGCCTCATGTAAATCCGCTCATCCAACTCACCATGAAGAAATGTCGTTTTCACATCTAGCTGTTCAAGCTCGAAATCCTGTGTAGCAACTAAGGCAAATAATACACGAATAGAAATATGTCTTATCACGTGAGAGAACACCTCGTTGTAGTCATTGCCTTCCCGCTGTGTATACCCTTTCGCAACAAGTGTTACCTTTTATCTTGCTGCCTCGACATCGGGAATGCCCACTTTCCATTTATAGACTCACTTGCTTCCAACAATCTTCTGGCTCTTGGGTACTTTGACCAACTCCCATGTCTGATTTCGATGGAGTGATTCCATCTCTTCGCTCATAGCCTCTAGCCATTGCGACGACTCACTACTAGTCATCGTCTTAGAATAAGACGAAGGCTCATCTGTCTCTGTTCAAGAAACATCTCTAAATGAATTTTGATGATACCCAAACTATCCTTGTTTTAATATCTACATTGTTTAGTGCAGATAAAGGACCAAGTGATATTCATGGTATAATCCACTGAAAAGGAATTCACAAGATGTCCTTGAAAGTTTTATGTAAACAGCACCATCGAACTTAAAAGATCGTCTAAATGACGATGTTTCATTAATGCTGAAGAAGATTAGATCGTTGGTGATGTTAGGATAACGAATCATTGAGTATGATCATTGTCTCACTATTATAGTTGTTTGCGATTAGATATACACAGCATAAGATTTGAAAAATAAGAGAACAGGTTGTCTGACAGTATGTCAGAGTTGTAGCTATAGAATAGCAACAGAAGCTATTTCAAGAAGTCTGTAAATATTCAGGAAAAGGCTATATGGGCAACTGGTTCCTAGGACAGCAGAATCAACAAACTCTAATGGCTACTCTGCTTCTCCAAGACATCCTCAACAGTCATATTGAAGATGCCTATAAAAGAAAAAGATCTTTGAAGCCTAAAAAAAGGAGAAGAAAGAGAGAAAAATTCACGTTCATACGAAATCCAAAAATCTGCAACTTATTGTACTCTTAGCAAAAAGCTCTTGTTTGTCTGTAACAATTGCTGCCTTGTAATTGCACCGAAAGATCAAGTGTACCAAGTGATAGTAAAACCTAATTTCTGATAGTATGATCCATCATCTGATTGGATCGGTGTTTGCTGAGTGTAACTTGTTCAACTGATTTTTAGTGTATTCCAGCCCGAATTGTGGCTGTTAGTGGTGAGAGTGGACGTAGACTTGGGAATAAAGCTAAACCACTATAAATCATTGTGTGCTAATATTTTTCATTCTCTCAATCGTCTTTAGCACATAATCAGGTCATCGTTTCGTACACATCTGGT